TTTAATACATTGTTATATGGGCGGTGAAATGAAAATCGCTTGACGTCTTAAGATTGTAGGAAATGACCATTTTACCATTGATTCTGACGATGTCCACAGCGAATACCACACCACCTCGGAGGCAAGGATATTAATTTGCGTGTGAATAAATTATAATGATCGTAAACTTTTGCTACATCTGGTGAACATTTCCCTCTTCACTCTCATGGGTCCATTGTCAAGACAGAGTCAAGAAATCGGGATGCACGATCGGCCGCAGGTTGCCGACGCGGATTGCGCCTGCGCCTAGGTGGGCCATCACACTACCAACTAGGGCATTTTTTTCTGGGATGAGCAACCCAATAACGCATGTTGGCTCTTGGTGTGGCACTCGCTTGCCCCTAGCACAGCTGCCGCGTGGCCGGTTGTAGTGGACCAGGGTGTGGAAAAAAGGGGTGGGTCACAAGTTATGGGGAGCGGGCGTGACTCTTACTCTTTGCTCCTGTAGTTTGATTGTTGTGGTTATTAATTTGATGTGGACGGTTTATTGTATAAACATGCCTTTGAACCATTAGCGCTATTACACAAACAGAAAAATGGTGTATGTTTTATAGAAGGCTGAGAACGTCAGCCTCCACATAGTAAATTTCGGGCCGAATAAAGACTATAATTATTTGAATCAACTTGAATTTATATGTGTTTATGAACGTATCCTGTGTCTTTAAAGTCCTAGAAGTGGCTACGATGTGGTTCACTTATTATTCGAAGAACTCTTATATGTGTATTTGAAGGGTTGCAGGCAATGAATGCGCTTGATGGCCCTATTAATATAAAGTAACCATAACATTTTTACGGTCGATGTTAGGGTGTAGACAGTTAAAATGACAAACTTTCATGTGAGTTGTCAAGGTACAATGCGAAACCGTATGAAAGCAAACTGAAGTCAGTAATTTTTACAAGCCTGACATTCAGCAATCGTATTGTGAGATCCGCCTTTTGTCAAATATTTCATCAAGTCGTTTTTTTCAAATCAGCAATGGTATGTGTGGTAACTACCACACTTGGTAGCGAGTGCCAATTTTGTACCACTCATTGGCTTAAGAAAAACTTTCTGAGGTTCAATCGAGTGCCTTCGCTTGTGACTTTGTAAGGATGGTCACGCAGGTGATTTGTGTTGACAAACTCGAAAAAATCCCCCGGGAGGAAACATAGCCCCGGATTATCCAAAATATCCAGAGCAGGCTACACTGTAAGTGCATGTAAGACAAGGGAAACAAGACTAGCTTTATCAATCTGTCTTGGTACAGTAGGTCCCTAAGGTCATCGACCATCTTCGACGCCATCCATTGCGCTTGTTCGAGAAGGTCCGCAGCTTTCTTCCTCCACGGTGTCCAAACTGGCAATCCGTTGTCTAGATGTGGTCTGACGAAGACGCCAAATATTCTTCCGTAAAGATCAGAAGGGAATATTTTGAACGAAGGTCTGATCCAGTGCAACTTACCAGTTGCTTTCCGGACTGCTTTTTAATATTGCTCTGGTGTCAGCAATTTGCGGTTGTCCACAGGCTCAAATCCTTGTGCGTATCCACCTCTTTCAGTGCAGTGTCATTTATAAAATAATTATGTTTCTGCGACACTTCTTGACCGGGACTAATTTGT